ACATCTGGCCTGTCCTTGCACCCCTCGGGGCTGGCTCTTGCACCTGTCACTCTGATTCCTCTTTTGTTTCCATCCCTGCTACCCCCACCCTCTGGACAGGCTGAGCTGTAAAGGCCAGGCCATTGGTCGACAGCACGCAGCTCAGCAAGCAGTGTCTCATGGAAGAAAAATTCCCCTGGGACGGACCAAAGCTCCAAGTGGAACCATTTTCCCTTTGTATGGATTTGTGCGTGTGTGTGTGTGTTTTGAGTATTGATGTAATCAGAGCTTGGCAAGAAGGTCACATTTTTCTGTTTTCCTAAGAAAGGCTGCAATCCTTTCAGCAAATGAGTAGATAGTACTGAAGCCAATAATCATTCTGTCAGTTAAGATCCTGGGGGCCGGGGGCCAGCGCTTTGGCACAGTGAGTTAAAGCCCTGGCCTGTGGTGCCAGCATCCCATATGGATGCTGGTTCAAGTCCCGGTTGCTTACTTCTGATCCAGCTCCCTGCTAATGTGCCTGGGAGAGCAGCAGAAGATGGCCCAAGTGCCTGGGCCCCTGTACCTTTGTGGGAGACTTGGAAGAAGCTCCTGGCTCCTGGCCTTGGATTGGCTCAGCTCTGGCCATTGTGACCATCTGGGGAGTAAACCAGCACTTGGAAAACTCTCTCTTTCTCTCTCTCTCTCTGTAACTCTGTCTTTCAAGTAAATAAAATAAATCTTTTTAAAAAATATCCAGGACCCAAATTGTGGAAATATGGATTGAGGTCTGCAATGCCCTCCAACTTCAGGATAGAGTGGGCTGGTGCAGGAGGAGGAGCCTGATGAGGTCAGGGTGTAGCCGCAGGGGCCCCGGGCTGGGTCCCACTGCCTCCAGCTGATGTGAGTGAGGGAGTATTACTACAAACTGTGGTCATGTGCAAAGATAAGCATTCTAAGTGCTGACACAGAGTGCACCAAGTGACAAAACACATTTAAAAGGTGGGAAAGTGAACACATGCACATACACACACACACACACACCAGCATCGGTTGCCTGCACAGAGAAATACCTGTCCTGGGTGGGCAGGGGCCAGAAGATTTGCCCAAAAGAAGAAGGGGCTGGGGAAGGGAGACAGAGAATACCTGGCGGCCCTCCAGCTGTGGACTGCAGAGAAAGAGAGAGAGAGAGAGAGAGAGAGAGAGAGAGAGAGGTCTTCCATCTGCTGATTTACTCCCCAGACGGCTTCTTTTTGCTGGTCTCTGTTGCTGGCTTCTTTTATGAAGTTGGGGGTGGTGCTTCCAGGTGTGAAGCCACCTGGAAATGAGATGGCACCCCTACAAGTTCCACGTGGAGCTCAATATCCATATTTCATGGTGTTCCCCTTAGGGCCTGGATGAAGCAGATACATCCCAGGAGAGGGGGCATTTTGATTGACAAGTAGGAGGACAGAAATACTTGGAGGCAGTGGCTTGCAAGTGCTTCCAGCTCAAAAAGACCTAAATCAGCTTCCTGTCCATGCACCCACATCACCATTGCTTATGGGCCATCATGAGGTTGCAGGGCTCTGTAGCCCAAAGGCTCTGTGGCTTCAGCCGTGGACAGGGAAGGCTCCATGAGTTCATTGCCTTCCTCTAGCTTCGAGATCATCACAGTTGGAGTCCCCCTGTCTCTGTACCAACCCCTCAGAACTCCCAGCCCATGAGCAGGTTCCCTCTGTCAGCAGCCTTGCAAGCACTCTTGTCACTGCTGAATGTGAATGATCAACACACCACCAGCAGCTGCCCCTGCTCTGCTGATCCTTCTAGGTCAAAACAAGAGCGCCGGGAGCCCAGAGCTAAGGCGCCTGGCGTCCTTGCCTCCGCCCTGCTGATCGAAATTTACTGAGTCTTCTGGGTGCCAGTTCCGAGGGCGTGTCACATCCAAGCCTCTACGGTGCTCTCATTTTCAGAGAAAACTGGGGTCCGAGGCAGCAAGATGACACTGGGTAAGGGAGGGGCAGGGTCAGGTTTGGAAAACAGATACATAATGAGAAGATTATTATGTTGAAAAATCTTTCATTCGTTATGATCATGTGAAGGAACGAGTCTCATTCGATATTCAGGCAGATTGCTGTTTTATTTTATTTTTCCGTTCTTGGCTTTGCTCTGTTGTTGTATTTTGGCTTTAACATGTCTCCAACACCTCTGGAACACGTGTTTTCTTCCACTGCTCCCCCTTCTTGTAGCCAACAGAGAACAAATCTCAGCCTTTGGCAGGCAACAGAATCAAACTAGGATTTAATAGCATTGTTTTGTATTCGTTGTATCCATTTGCATAGTTACATCCCACCTATGGCAAGTAATCTGCTTTTCTACTTGCAGTAGAGACAAGAAGGCTCCTTTTCAAATAAACTTGAGGGACCTGTGTTGTGGTGTAGTAGGTTAAGCTACCATCTGCGGCACCAGCATCCCATATGGGCGCCAGTTCAAGTCCTGGCTGCTCCACTTCCAATCCAGCTTACTGCTAATGCCTCTAGGAAAGAAGCAGAGGATGGCTCAAGTGCTTGGGCCCCTGCCACCCATGGGACAGGATAAAGCTTCTGGCTTTTTAAAGATTTATGTATTTAATTGTTTGTTTATTTGAAAGGCAGAGTTAGAGAGGGAGGGAGGGAGAGGGAGAGGGAGAGAGAATCTTCCCTCTGCTGGTTCACTTCCCAAATGGCCACAACACCAAATTGAGGAGCCCATAACTCCATCTGGGTCTCCCATGTAGGTGCAGGAGCCCAAGTACTTGGGCCATCTTCCTCTGCTTTCCCAGGCACATTAGCAGGGAGCTGGATATGAAGTGGAGCAGCCGGGATTCCAAGCAGCACTCATGGGAGCCGGCATCACAGGCGACGGCTTCACCTGCTGTGGCCCAGTGCTGGCCCCTGCAAAATGTTTCAGAACATCTCTGAGCCTAAGTTTGCTTAGATGAGATGAAGACCCACCTTACAAGCTTGTTGTGAAGATCCAAGGTGTTGACCTCGCGAGTCAGGAGAATCCAGAGTACCTGGGACGTAGTAAGCACTGAGTGAATACTGCACGGCGTAGGCGTCATCACACAGACGCGTGGCAGTCAGAGAACACGCGCCTGTGGTGCTCTGTGCCTTCTGAGCAAAGGCAGGCTGGTGGAGCAAAGACAAGCAGGGCCGTGACTTTTCAACACAGGTTAACTGGGGAAAGCTCCACCGCACCTGTGCTGTTCTAAGGAACTGCAGAGATGGGGGCGTGTTTGCTGTGGTGGATGGCTAGTCACACCTAGTTTTTCTTTTTCTTTTTCTTTCTTTTCTTTTCTTTTATTTATTTATTCATTTTTTTGACAGACAGAGGGGACAGTGAGAGAGAGAAAGAGAGAGAGACAGAGAGAGACAGAGAGAGACAGAGAGAGAGAGACAGAGAGAAAGGTCTTCCTTTTACTGTTGGTTCACCCTCCAATGGCTGCCGTGGCCGGCGCGCTGTGGCCGGCGCACCGCGCTGGTCTGAAGCCAGGAGCCAGGTGCTTCTCCTGGTCTCCCATGGGGTGCAGGGCCCAAGCACTTGGGCCATCCTCCACTGCACTCCCTGGCCACAACAGAGAGCTGGCCTGGAAGAGGGGCAACCGGGGCAGAATCCGGCGCCCCAACCGGGACTAGAACCCAGTGTGCCGGCGCCGCAAGGTGGAAGATTAGCCTAGTGAGCCGCGGCACCGGCCCACACCTAGTTTTTCTTAATATTCAGATTATGTTTGTGACTATAAGGAGCTTAGAGTCTGAGTCCATGCTTCCCAGCCACCCCTCCCACAGGCGCCCCCGGGAAGTTGAGAAGAGGACTGGAGTTGTGGCGACGGCCTCCGTAATTATTTGCCAAGCACAAAGCTTTTTAAAAACCCAAGGGCTTTTAGAGCATGCATTTTACTCACGGGGGTATAGTGCCAAGGAGTTAAAAATTAGAGGCTATCTTCTAAAACATCCAAATGTCTGGGAATACAAAGTGGGATCAAAGGTATTGAGGTAAACCTTTAAACAAGCTGGGGGAACCTTTTAGTGTAATCATGGAGTTCCAATAGAAATCCACTGTGATTGCCCCACTGGGGAATTTTGGAGGGCGAAGCCCTTAGGAGCTACGGGTCATCACAGACTGAAATGCAGGTCACCTGAACGCCCAGGTGTGAGGTATTCATGCTCAAAGCTTCGGTGAACTTGCTAAGAAGGAGAGTGATGGAGCACATCCCTGGACACTTAAGATAGCAGGATTCCCAAGAACACAACACGACAAGCGTGCAAAGATGTTTAGCTCAGGATTTGTCACTTCGAGAGCAACAGGCAACAATGGATGATTTAGGGCCCTGTGCACCTCAGGCCAGCAGCAGCAGCACCAGTGAACTTGTTAAAAAGGCACCTTCTGCCGGCACCACGGCTCACTAGGCTATTCCTCCACCTTGTGGCACCGGCACACCGGATTCTAGTCCCGGTCGGGGCGCCAGGACTAGAACAGCTCTCTGCTGTGGCCAGGGAGTGCAGTGGAGGATGGCCCAAGTGCTTGGGCCCTGCACCCCATGGGAGACCAGGAGAAGTACCTGGCTCCTGCCATCGGATCAGCGCGGTGCGCCCGCCGTGGCGGCCATTGGAGAGTGAACCAACAGCAAAGGAAGACCTTTCTCTGTCTCTCTCTCTCACTGTCCACTCTGCCTGTCAAAAAAAAAAAAAAAAAGGCACCTCCTCTGGCCCCACCGCGGAGAGGGTGACCTTCAGAGGATCCAGGGATGTTGAGCCTCCAGCTGGGGAGAGAGGGATTGTCATTTCATGCATTACATCTGTCTAAAAGTAATTCTGCCCAACGAGGACCACAGACAAAAGGAACTGTTGAACATCATTTGCTCCCTTTTTGGTCTTCCCTTTGCATCCTGAAGAAAACAAATACAGTAGCCTTCCAGGCCCCAGGAGGACAGGTGTAGCCTACAACGCCAAGTTCTTTAGGGAAACCAGTTTCCAGGTGTCCGGGGCTCAACTGACCATGAAAACCCTGCATCTTTGTTCTAGCAACTCCAGGGCAGCAGCTCCAGATGGAGGATCTGCCACAGAAGCAGAGCCACGCTCAGAAGCTTGGTCACTCTGTCGTGGCTGGTTATCCACAGCCCACACGAACCGCAGGAAGACGGGACATGCAACTGGAAGGTGAGCAAGGAGGGGGAGGGGCCGTGCTTAGTGTGGCTGTGGGAAGAGAGCAGAGCTGGGCACCGCAGTTCTCGCTCTGCTGGCTCTGTGACCTGTTCACTAATGGCTTTGTCTCTTCCCGCCTCTGGGCCTTAATAAGTTACGAGAACAGATGCCCTGGTAATGGTAGCCTGGTACCGCAAATGCCACCAGGGAAACTGCCTTGATTCACCATGTGCCCCAGGGCACAGTGCTGGGGGCACACATGACCCACAGGCATTGAGTTTGCTCTCAAGACTACGCTGGGCTTGCTAATCCTGGGAAATCAGCCCAAAAAAAAGAGACAGGGATGACTACTGGGACGGTCAGGGTCACGACTTGGGAGGAACTGAACCGAAATGGGATCAAGGAAAGAGAATGAGGTCTGGATAGTTCTGGTGTGTTCCACTGACAGCCCAAGAGTAACTGTTCGGCTGAAAGTTACAGAAACTCATATTCAACAAGTACCTATTAAGTCCCCGCTGCATGCCAGGCACCAGTCTAAGAGGCACTTTTGACTTTCAGTAAACAAAACAAGCACAAATTCCTACAATCTGGAGTAGGTGGCTGCTGGCCCCAAGGAGAATCCCAGTAACGACAACAATTGATTGCTGTGAGTCAGACAGTGCTGTCATTTGCACACATGGCCCTCAACACCTGCTGATGGAGAAGTCAGTTCCACGCCTGTCCCAGCTCTCACTCTTCCAAGGGTCCCCCTTCCTCAGACCACCATCCAGCACAACCGTGGGAGCAGGCAGGGTCGGACCTGATGGCCTTGGATGTTGCATTTCAACTTGGCAACAAGGAAATGGGTCACCTGACTACTCTCATCCGATGCTGAAAGCTTGAGTAACGCAGCTGCACTTAATGAAATAATGTCGGCCTTTTGGTGATGTGCTTATTTGACTAAGTAAGGAAAATAGTTTTAGAAGAATGAGCATCAGATGGCCTTTATCTGAAATCTTTGGTGACATGTCATCAGTGGAACATGAACCATGAACTATTACACCGTTCTGTGAATTCTCTTGACAGTGCCTGTAAAAAAAATTGACAGGACTTTAAAAATTCCAGCCAGCTGGTGATTATTTCTTTAAAAATACTTATCTTAGATGTGCATACAGCCCCTTGAGTGTGTGCAACGATGTCCATAATGAAAGTATTTAGGTGGATATAGATATTCCAGCTAGAAGTGCATGTAGGATAATAGAATTCCTAAACATTTTATGTTAGAAATTTTCAACATTAACAAGGAGTTCTTATTGATTATCTCATATACCTTACATCCATAGAGCTTGCTATCTTAACCCTTCCTCGTGAGCTCATTTACATATTAATTAGTACCTTTCCAGGAACGTCTGGGTCACCTCTGGTGAATGCTTCCTATACAAGAAAGAAAGCTTGGTGGTTCAAAGTCAGCCTTGGGAGCCACGTTGCCTCGGTTCGGTTTCTGGCTCTTCATGTGGTAGCCGTCTGACATGGAGCAAGATAACTTCTTCATGCCTCACTGTAAAATGGGAGGACAATGGCATCTCAGTGTGATTAGGAGTTGGGAATGTGTTGATCAAGACGAAGGGCTTAGAGATGTCTCTGGCACATGGTGTGTGCTCAGTGAGCTGCTGATACTGTTCCATCTGCAGCCAGCCCTCCACTGCCACTCTGCCCTCTGCAGGCCACCGTCTTCTCTCCGCAGATCACTTTCCTCTTGCCACCACTGTCCCAGTCCCTCTCGTTCCCACAGCCCAGAAGAACCACGCAAGGCCCCTGCACGTGGAGATACAGACCAGAGAGGCGGCACAAAGTGACTTTGCGCTCTGGTTTGTCCACACCCATTTTGGGCTCATTCCTAAGCTGGCTCGTGAGCTGGTCCTGGCCTCTTCCATGTGACCAGAGAGTGTTCTGTCCTACTGCTCACTCCGGGTCTCCCCACACCTCAGAAACTGGCTCTCTAGACAGGAGCATGCTTTCCCCTCCCCCTAGCTCTGTCCTCCCATGGGAGTGCTTGTTTCCTGCCCCTGGAGGGCCACCTTCCTGGGAGAGCTGAGAATGGGTGCAGCCCTTCCCTTCTCTCCAGGGCGGGTCCCCCTGCACCCCCAAGGCAGTGGGGCAGCCCAGCTCCATCGGCTACTCCATGCTCAGGTCTGCACCTGCGCAATGCCCTCCTCCTGACCAGCCTCACCCAAGGTCACCTTGGGCAGAGGACCTTGGGATTCTGAGGGCCCAGATGGTGTTCTAGGCCTCAGAGCCCCGGCGCCGTGGAGGGCTATTTTAGCTGTATTACTGTTTTGGGAGGACTTGCTGTCCCTCTGGGAACTGAACTCTATTTATAATGTGGTTTCCATGGGAAAGAGTGTTCCAAGTGACAATCAGTTTCAAGTGGAATGCTCAGGGCACAGCCCTCTCACTGCCGCAGGAGTGCAGTAATTGTTTCTTCATATGTGGGATTATATTGAGGTTTACAAACAACCGCCTCATATAAACATACAGAAGAAGAAAAACAGGTGTTGCTTCTTGTATTTTTAGGGGAAATTTTTAAAAGTACAGGTTTTTTTTTTCCTTAAGAAAAAAGGTGATTTTTTTTAAAAAAAGATTTACTTTATTTATTTGAGAGGCTGAGTTACAGAGAGACAAAGAGGTCTTCCATTCTCTGGTTCACTCTTCAAATGGCTGCAATGGTCAGGATTGGGCCAGGTTGAAGCCGGGAACCTGGAACAACAGCCAGATCTCCCATGTGCGTGCAGGTGCCCAAGGATTTGGGCCACCTTTTGCTCTTTTCCCAGACACATTAGCAGGGAGCTGGATTGTAAGTAGAGCAGCCAGATATCAAACCGGCACCCATATAGGATGCAGGCAGCAGCTTTACCCACTATGTCCCAGCGTCAGCCCCCAAGAAAAGTAAGTGCAGTGGAGGATGGCCCAAGTACTTGGGCCCTGCACCCCATGGGAGACCAGGATAAGCACCTGGCTCCTGCCCTCAGATCAGCGCAGTGCGCCGGTTGCAGCATGCCGGCCGTGGCGGCCATTGGAGGGTGAACCAACAGCAAAGGAAGACCTTTCTCTCTGTCTCTCTCTCTCACTGTCCACTCTGCCTGTCAAAAAAAAAAAAAAAATGCATAGATTTCAGAAACATTTTGCACCAGAAAACTTACCTTTTCATTGCATTTTCCAAGAACTTTCTGAAGTACCTTCACAGGTGTGTGAGTTCATTAAATCCTCACAGTAACCCTCAAAGGTGATGTAAGAAAGAATCTGACCTTCCTTCTGCTGTCTAAACCTGACAGCTTTAACGCCCCACCAGATGCACCTTCTGCCCCACAGCTAGGCGAGCTGGCAGAGAGCCCAGGCGCTCCTGCATTGAGTGCTAGGGGTGGGGGGAGTTCAAACCACAGAAAGCCCAGCTACAAAGGGGACCCTCGCCCTAGCTCCACCCTCTCACTGCAAAGGCAGACTCCTCGCTCCTCCCCCCATTTTTGGACCTGCCTGGGACTCCCCCTTGATCCTTGCAGAAAGCCCCACTGTATGAGTTCTAAGCCTTTCCATCCCTCTCGGTGTCTGTGTGGCATTGTCAAGTTCAGTGATCAAAGCTGGATTCTGTGTGAGGAGGTCCGTCTCATTTCCACCATGACAGATAAGGACCAAGTCTGCTATTGGACAGTTGAGGAAACCGAAGCTCAGAGAGACGAAGTTGATGTGGCGTGATCGGGGAGCTGCACGTCCCTATAAGTCCCCAGGGTGATGCTGTTCTTCTCCCTGTCATTCAAAACACCCCCTTTCCCGGGCTGCACCTGTTTCACTCAGGACCTAAAGAAGACTCCACTAAAACATGGATATTAAGCTTCATGCAGAACTTAGGGATATATGCTACAATTCCCAGGTGGCTTCATGAGTGTACAGGCACCACTCCCACCTCCTGAAAGAGGCCAGCATACGAGGTGGCTCACTCTCTCGCTCTCTTGTTCTCTTTTGCCATGGACCATGGCTGGAAGTGCTACACGGGTGCACACACTCTCTCCTCCCCAACCCCTTTTCCCTTCGGGCAGTCCTCCAGCCCACTGCCCACTGGTAAAGGATATTCCTCCATGGGGTGACTGACACTCATGCATTTATTTTGTGCTTACTTCCTAACCTTTTGAATAAACTTTGTTAGCACCTTGCGCACCTTGTACAGGACTGTGCTTACAAATCTCATCTTTGGTAAGACAGGAGCCTGGGGTGAAATTAATACACCCATGCCCACATCAAAGTTGCTAGCCAAAGGTCATTGTTCCAGATGATAATGTCATCTTTTTTTTTCTTTTTTCTTTTATAATGAAGGTAAGTGACTATCTATTTACTAGAGAGAAATACATCGTGACTACATACATAGAAGGAGAGAGAAAGAGAGAGGTCTTCATTCCACTAGTTCACTCCCCAAATGGCTGCAACAGCCAGGGCTGGGCCAAGCTGAAGCCAGGAGCCAGGAGCTTCTTCTGGGTCTCCCACATAGGTGACAGGGGACCAAGGACTTGGGCCATCCTCTGCTGCTTTCCCAGGCCATAGCAGAGAGCTGGATTGGAAGTGGAGCAACCAGGACTCTGCTGAAAGCAGAGACTTAACCTACTGCCCCACAGCACCAGCCCTGATAGTAGCATCTTAGCCACTCGGCTTTTCTCTGCTTGAGGCCAGATGAGTTTTGTCTCTTGAAAATTAGTAAGTTACATCGAGGGTTTATAACTTTCATTAATACTTAACGGGTGTTGAGTGCTACCTAGTTCTAAGTCCATTTTCATGTATTAATTCAACGTCTTATCAACTCTATGATAAATTGCATTGTTATTCTACTTCTAAAGATGATAAATCTGAGAGAAACAAAGTTGAATAACTTGTGTAGAACCACACTGCTGAAGGATGGCTCAGAACCCATGCTCTCGGCCACAGGGCCGTAAGACCTCTTCCATGGTATCCAAAGAAAGGAGCTGATAATTTAACCCAGTTTAGAAGGATTG